GTTTGCCAAGTCCTCGTCAAAAAACAACGTTATCTCCGAGCCCCCGGGGCACGTATGGATCATTACTTGCCACCAAGTATGGCGGCAGGGAGCGAACGCTGTGTCACATTACACAGAGGGTTCGAAAAGTCATGTTGATGGATTGATGCACCTCTTAATCTCCTACAACCACCATCTGTAACCTATCCTGGCTGCTGTGATGGAAACTCTGTGGTTGTGGACATGGTGGTTGCAGATTGCAGCCTGGGACTCTGTTCCCTGTGCCTCAGCAGCCGAATCTCAGTGGGAAACATTCACATTCAACCACAGAAGAATCAGAGGGCGTTTACTACATCCACTGTTAATAGCTATTATGGCATAACATTACACTATAATGGAATATTGATGCCCGCATTGCACCAGCATCCATGCAAACCTGGCATTAGGTTTCCTATTGATGAAATCATAAATCTGTAAAAAATGGCTTTTATCCACTGGGCTGTGGCCGGACACACCACGCTCTTTCTCTCCGGCATTGACTGATCTTTCCAATAAGCAATATTCATGCTTTTTTCTTGTAGTTCAAGTTCTTTCTGTTTTAAATAGTACATTTCCTTTGTCCTCTCTGTTCAGACTGCAGTGAGTCAACTCAGAGAAATATGTGGGCTGATCGATACTGCCGATGTTACTGTAAACATGGGCATCACTCGTCTCTTCCATCTTCATCCTTTCTTCTGTTTTCCCATCACACACAGGCATTATTTGAGACCTACTTGTATTGGATCAGTGTTGTAATAACTACATACTTCACCCTCGATGAACTGTTTGATAATCAATACAAGTGATGTTGAGCGGCTGGTGGAAGTAGTCAAAACTCACTCTTCCATTTAATTGAGTTCAAAGGGTAGAAATGTGAAAGCTTATTGATCTCGGGCACTTAAAGATCGTTAATTATATAAACATGTCAGCATTTTCCTATTTACTGAATAAATCCAGCCTGCCAGTAAATTAAAACTATGTTAAACTGAGATGGAAGTCAGTGGAGTAAGCTGTTAATGATGTTCAATTTGTTCAACAACAGCTGGAGTGTGAATACCTCCACCAAAGCTTCATCTCCTCAAACTGTATTTCACCAGCAGAAAAATGTTGGAAAAGTACATGTGCTCACACAACTGAACACAAACGTACAGTGTATCACCGAAACCACCTTTGTCTGACTATGTGCGCTGTGTGTCGTTCAAAATAGCAAAAAATGTTCATTAAGTACCTAAATTGGGAAATTTTCTGGGTTTCACACCTGGATGACACACACGAAAAATAATAATCCTTGGCTCACAGCTTGTTCTCATTCCCAACTCATCACATACCGTCGCTTTGTCATTGATTTCGGAAAATGACATGTAAACGTGTTGTCTTACCTTACCGGTGTGGTGCCATGTTTGTTTACCATTTAGCTCTGCTTTCCAAAGCGCGGCCAAAATATGGCGAGCTCTAGATAAAGCCCAGCTGGATACTACTCCAGGTGGAGGTGTATTCTGGCTCAAATAAATTGTTTACCACCTAGCTCTGCTTTCCAAAGCGCGGCTGAAATATCATGAGAACAAGCAGCGATCTCATACCGTGCCTGAAATCTCGTGAGAACAAGCATTTTTTGGGTTTCAAAAAATTTTCTGGGTTTCACACCTGGATGACACACACGAAAAATAATAATCCTTGGCTCACAGCTTGTTCTCATTCCCAACTCATCAAATACCGTCGCTTTGTCATTGATTTCGGCGTCAGACTCTGACGCAAAAAGGCACCATTTGGAAGAAGATATACTTTATTAATCCCTGAGGGGAAATTCAATTTTTTTCACTTTGTTGTCATACACACAGGCCTGGAATACACACATAAGCACAAACTAGACCTATACATGCATTAGGTGGAGATGTCAGAATGAGGGGGCTGCTTTGGACAGGCACCCTGGGCAGTTGGGGGTTCAGTGCCTTGCTTGGGGTGGCCTCGGTGATTGTGTCACCACTACCAGTCCATGCTTGGTCCATAGAGCGACTTGACCTATGACCCACCAGTCCCTAAGCCAAGTCCCTATGGACTGAGCTATTACCACCCCTTTTTGCGATGGTATGCTATGCCATCACTTTGTAGCACCATGAGACAGCATCAGTTTGTAATGCCACCTGCAACAACATAATATAAAGAGCTGGAAAGTCTCTATAGGACTAGCAAGTGGGGAGGTGGATGGGTCCAACGAACACAGGACTTTCACCCACAAGCTCACTGTTCACTTCCTGTGTTAATGTTGAGCCAAACCATGATGTTTTCTTCTAACTCTACCCTCAACCTATGATGTACGCATATTTTGAAGAAGCCTGTATGCATCTAATGAGCAGTAAACTATACATTTCCTGTGAAAACGCAAGCGAATTTTGAAAAGACACAATGCATTTAACAAGCGTAAACTGACACAGTGTGCCAGAATATCAAAAATAGACACAGGAGGATATCTAGTACATCATATTTAGATGTGAAAGCTACTGACAAAGCAGCGATATTTGGCAAGTTGGGGTGAGAACTGGATGGTCTTGCATTAACCTTTCCCCCAAATCTGACTGAAATCTGTTTGCGTTTTGTTTCTCTAAGATGTCCTTCTCAAAATGGGACACAACCAAACAAACAGGACTAAATCATAAAAGCAGGTCAAAAGCAAGCAGATTTCAGTCGTGACTCAACATGTTTGCTCAGCATTTAATATGTTACATAAAACCACAATCTCACAAAACTGCTTTATCAAAGTTATTATTTTACTCTAAGATGACTTACAAATCTGGCCCTCTGATAAACTTCATCCTCCAATTGTTTCTGACTAGTGAGTGCACATCAGAGGTCAGCCGGCTGAAAATCTCCAAAAATGAATCCCAGACTTTTAAAAGGCAGCGGGCTTAACAGTGCAGATGAAGGTTATAACCTGAGCTGCATCTCCCATTCACACACACACACACACACACACACACACACACACACAAAAAGCAAGTTGGTGACGGCAAAACATAAAGTACATGTGCACACACAACTGAACACACACGTACAGTGTATCACCGAGGCCACCTTTGTTTGATTATGTGCGCTGTGTGTTGGTTTGTCGGTTATCTGGCTTGTCCAGTGGAATAGCATTTTTTTTTTTTTTTTGCCATGAACAGTACAGTACACAAATGATTTGAAAGCCTTTTGTCCTTTAGGCTGCAGCCTTTATACAAACTCTAAATGAGGTCTCCAGAGATGAGTTCAAACATAAAATACTTCAACTTACAGGTTGGCTTACAGGACAGTGGCTGGTACAAAGAAGGTGGGGAGATAGATAGATAGATAGATAGATAGATAGATAGATAGATAGATAGATAGATAGATAGATAGATAGATAGATAGTGTAGGATAATGAGTGCTATAATCGGAGAGGCGGAGGCTGATAATTGCACAGGTAACACACAGATGACTGATGCGGTTGAAACCATCATGTGACAGTGCATGTTGTGAGGCTGACAGCAAAGCAGACAGGTGTGAACTGTGCGAGCAGCGTTGTTGTTACATAAAATCAGAGCGAGCTTTTCTTCCCCATCTAAAGAGAGACTGTGTTGGGAAAATACGGGGCACAACTCTCACAAGTCAAACGAGACGAATATGTGAGAGACCACTTTTTTTTTTCTCCACACTTTTTTTCCCTCTCTCCCTCTCGCCTGCCCCCCTTTTGTCATCCCCAGCCTCTTTCCCTCTGCCACTTTGTTCGCTCTCTTAGTTCAGCAGCCTCCTTTAGTCTCTCTCTGGGGTGCAGTAGTGTAGTAGCCTACACTAGATTTTCTGTGATGTTTTCTCTTCTCTCTGCTCCTCTCCTCGTTTATCAAATTGCACAAGCTCATATAAAGCAAGTTAATGAGGCCAGTAGGGGGTGGACTCTGCTTTCATTGCAAAAAAAAAAGAAATAGGATATGCGTTCTGTTGTGGCTTTGCTAAACAGTTAACCACTTTTGATGTGTTTATGTGAAACTATTCAAACTGTAAATGTACCTCCTCTGGAACCCTATGAGCAATGCTCCAAACACACAGCACGGCCCCATACTGTACATGGCACTTGAGCTCACTGTGCTATCAGTTATCTCAATAACCTAATAGCGCCAGCCTTGATTCCACATAAGCCTGCAGTCAATATGCTGACCTAGTATGGAGAAAGTAAAGTGGCTGATGCTTCTGGACTGTTTAATGCATAATTAACAAGTGCATAACTGGAAACGCTATGATGCAGCTTCACGGAATCAGGCAGTGAAAGGAAGAAGGTGTGAGGAGGAAACTGTGAACGCATTGCTTTGACTTCAGGTTTCCTTCCAAACTATCACAGACATAGTCAATAACTCTGCCAGGAGAACTTCTCAATGGGACAAAATGACTACAGTAAGTGGACCAGCTGTAATTGTAAAATTACTCACTTTAATGGGGAGCTGTAAATGTGAGGTTTCGAGTATCCTGGTGTTAAAACCTACCACTTAAGAGAGAGTGACTACCCTCATGAAACCATCCTTTTTTGCTGTGATGCTGCACAGGAAGCCTGGACATGACAAAAATGTTAGATAATGATAAAAACACCAAAGTACAAGGAGAAGGAGAAGTTTCGCTCCTGTGCTGCCAGGTTCCACCAGCCACACAGTCATTCATTTACACTCAAAAGCTGAACAAGTCAGTTTTCTACACATCGCAGACGTCTAACTTTATGTTGGCACGATGTACAGCCAGACACTTTTCCCTCTGCTTTCTCTGTGCCAGTTGGGAGATGTTCACTGCAGCTGTTTTACGCGCGGCGGCCGCACAGCGCGCATCACCATCACCACCATCAGCATCAGGAGCAGCGCGGCAGAAAACATCTCTTTTATATCTCTTTATCGGCTGCTTTGCACCGCCGGCAGGGGATTAAACATCGAGTTGTTAAAGCGAAATGAATTCACCGCGCTTTGAGTTAATACAGCGTGCCTTAC